TGATATTTTCTTCAATCCCATCACTTGTCTGCTTGATATTGTATTGATATTGTAAGGAGAAATTCTGTCTTGGTCACTCATGGGAGTGAAAGGCTTAAAGGGTTAACACACAATGAAAAATTGCTTGACCCTATTTTTAATCAAGTTTCTTTCACAAGTTAACAAATATTCAATACCCTATTTACATGAACATGTGAATCTGTCACCTACTAACAATTTTTATCTTAAGTATTCATAACAACTATAACCATAATGCTTTCTGTTCTCTGAGGCTTATAACCCATTAACTTCCAAGGACTGAATGCTACTTCTCCCTTGCAGCTGCTATACATTTCACTGTAAATTAGTTTTGAGAATTAGAAGTTAGATCAAGATTAAAACTTGAAGGTATTCTCGTTACCTTTGTGCTGGAAAATGTATGAATACAACAAGGAGAAGCTACATGTTAATCACTTCCAAGAAGTAAAGGATTAAGACATGCTCATCTGCAATTATTGTTAGGAGTTCTATGTCTCAATATAAACAAATTGGGCTTTAACTTGGGGTAGAAGAGCACAGAACACATCATCACAATGGAATGTGCTGCACATCAAATTCATCACCTTAGAGAAAAATGTGTAAAAATATGTGATATGTCAGTTAGCTTACTCACAAGCATATTAACTTGGTACATCTAGAAATATGCAAATTAGTCTTTAACTTACATTTATCTTAGTAGTCTGGAAATGTGGAATTCTGGAAATATGCCAATAATTCTTTAGCTAGGTTGCCTGTATCTTAACTTGGCAGTCTATAAATGTGAAAATCTGGAAATAGTAAAAGGATATGGTTTTAACTTTGGTTCTGAAAAAATTCAATTTTCTTTGTAGCCCACTGTCTTGCTTCCTCTACTTCATTCAGTAAAGAAAGATCCTTAATCTATCAAACACCTTTGTTTTATTCAATTTCCCAACAGAAACATGGGAGAAGAGAGGGACGAAAGTTCAAAGAGAGGGGGGAAGAAAAGAGAGGACCAAGAGGGGAGGGGTATGACAAAGGTTACAAAGGTGGTGAAAATGGTGACAATAAAAACAAAAATGTTGACCCTGGTAAAATGAAGATCAACTGTACCAATACAACTCAATAGAAAAGGGCTTAGAAATAACAATTACCTCAGCATATATGGTTTGCCCTTTTTCTTGATATCACTTAAATGGCACAATTCACAAGTTTTCTTTACCTCTTGTTTGAACCATTTCAACAGATATGATGCGTGCATGTGTTTTACTGAGCCAGAACCGTAGCACTGAGTTTTAGGGGCTTGTTCCCCTGAAGAGTGATAAATACAGCAGATGCTCTGACTCAGACAGATCAGAATTTCCTGAAAATGCACATTTCCTGAAAAAGAGTAAAGATTAATTTTTTAATGATTTTTGAGTTATTAGCTGAAATATGAAGTATGTGACCCTATGTTGGCATATAAAAAGATATTTATCTTGGATGGGCACATTAGGATATGTATCTTGCATTAATCTGACTTGTGCATCAGGGTATGTATCTCACACTAATCAGATCACAGCAATGAGGTATGCTTGCACCAATCAGAGTGTCACAATACTGTCCCTCCCTGCCTATCACATCATGAAATTAGGGTACCACAATTTTTGCCTTTTGATTGCTCTTTTTGCCAAAGCTGAAAAGATCACAAAGTTATATTTACTTTCTGCGTCAACTGTGATGTGGACTATCTGTTTATTTTTGTTTTTAAAAGTTCTCCATGCTTCTGTTAGTCATATTGTGTTGAAAAGGTATTTTCCTGATACAGTTACATGTTAACTTGTTGCTATGGACAAGACTTTCTCAGATAGTATGCCATTTTCTAGTAAACAAACTAAATTTTATAACATAATCCCACTCCACTGAAAAAATTTCACATGGAACTAAATGCTACTGTTAGTCAATTTTCCACACAATTCTCACATGCTAAGATATTATCTACCGATCAAATTCTCTTTTAGCTGCCTAGGACTTCACCCTATAACATGTCAATTCCTTCTAGACAGCCTGCATCTTATCATGTATTCTGCACAAATGGGGCAAAGTACAGATAGGCAATTACCAAATAAAGAGCCCATGTTGTTATGCTTTGAAATATGATACTTTTCTCACCACTTTTCTGCACTAATGTTGTTCATTTTTGCTAACAATTATTCAGACACCAGTGGTAAAAGACCATAAAATGTTTCTCTCAGTTTATTTCTGATAAATTGGAAGATTTTGGTTTTTTGCTCTCCATTTAATAATATCTTCATTGGAATCTTTCATAAGTAAATACTCTTTTTCTTTTACAAAAATGCAAAAATTAGTTGCTTGGTTTTCCATTTTGACCCAGCCATCAAAAAAAAAAAAACTCTTGCATGCATAGCATGCTTATGTTTTAAGTATGCCCTTGTCAGTAACTAATAACAACAGTGAAAGAGTATTTTTGGACAAAAATAAGGGATGTTTCAGTTCAGGGACAGTACTTGAAGTGTTACCAAATGAATAATTTTGCCTTTCACTATCCTAATCATTCAATGGGAGGCCCATTCAACAAATTAAGAATTAAAACACAACTATCATACCTCATGGCTGACAAAGATAAATGCTATAAAGTGGCAACTATGGTATTCTCCATTTCTTTTCTTCACATTTTCAATTTTTTTTTTCTTTTTCATTCTTCTTTGGTATTTTTCTTTAAGGAAACAAAAAATCTTAAACCACTACCTATGGTTAAAATCAAGCAGAGGGTAAAATAGTATGCTAAATATTTAACTATCATAACAACACTCCTTAGTATGACACACTGCACAGCAATTGGAATCATCATTTGCATGAATGTACTTCTGACTTTATGGGGCACTATGGTAAGACTTAACTCTTAAAGATTCCCTGCCTTTATGTAGACATACCACTCTGCATATCTATTTCCCAGAGAAAACTGGAAAATTGAAATACTCCTAAACTCCTCCAACTTGGGAAGGAGGTTGGTTAGGAAGAGGAACAGGGGGCTGGTTTCACTTTGGTATTCACAGGTGACTCATAATTCTCAAAAACTGTCTCACAATGCCATTGGGAAATCATCAAAAGAATAATTTACAGGCCTGTTAACAGCTTCATGATCTGGAAAATTAGCCTAATGCTCTTTGGAAACTATAAAGCAACTAACTACAGGGGAAGCAGAACTGGGAGCAGCAGAAAATGAGGGAAACGTGGGGGGGGGGGTGGGTGGGTCAACAACTACACATTCAAACAAAACTATCATTCAAATGGAGTAAAATTATCACGTTCAACACGAACATACTGATCTACTGCGAAAAATAGAGTTCATCTTGATCATTCTTGAGGATATGCATTCAAAAATCAAGGTTGCTCAGTTGAATTTGTACCAGATGAAAATATTTCACTCACTAAAAGCTGCAGACTCTTCCTCCGGCAGCTCCTCGTCGTCAACACCTTCTCCTTCCCTAAAATATCAACATGACGATGTTTTCGTTCCGCTTGTTCCTTGGAGTTAACCAATACAAAATAAAAGCCAGTCTATGACTTCACGTGCATCTGTTCTATAGTTAAGGGGAGTAAAACGTACAACTGTGAGAACGTTTGATGAGGCAGCTTTCACGTTCAAATCGATAACAATGTCAACATGCAGAGGTGAGACCCTGAAAAACATGATTTTGAAGAGCGATGGCCAGTGTCAGGGCTGAACCAAGACGAGTCACAAGAGATATGATTAAACGAGTGTCCCACGATAATTCGCCATTTTGAAACCGTGAGGGACTTTGGGACGAAAATAACCACCAGCTGCTGGTACACTTCATGACACATACACCACCTATTACAGTGGCCCATCATTATGGCGGAAAGAATACGTTTTAATTTTATCACATTTTGTAAAAAAGAGCAAGTATATTACTCGGCGCTGACATTCATTCTTCCGTAGCTCTTTTCTTTTGTTACAACGAGCATATCAGACTTTCCCGGAGAATCGTGATCGTGCGGTATTTTTGTATTTAATTTTTTTAAATTCACACCGATCTATTTTCGATATTCCTTATTTTTTTTAGGAAGCCCAAAGTCACGAGGAGGATCCCCCAGCTACTGCTGGTCGTGCAAGAAAAAGAGAGTCCTTTTTTTGTAAGTTTTATATTTCACGTGTGGGAGCATGATTTTATTGGGCAAAGTTTCCGCACAGCCCCATACTTCATTATGCATACAGTCCTTTGTTAGAAGAAAACAATAGCGCAAACAATAGATTGCGTTTGAGACAGACTCAAACAAGCGTAACCAGATGGATAGGCGGTACATGAAGTCTATGCAAACAAAAGTATTTCAGTGTTTCCTTTTTTTAATTTTATATATATATTTTTTATATTTATTTATTTATTTATTTGAATTTCCCAATGTAATTTAACAAGACTTTAAATAAAAACTGTTTTTTAAGCTCATGATATCGGGGTTGAAATTGTTTGTATCTACATCCCTAACAATGCAGTACCTCAGGATTTTTTTTTATTCTAAACTAGCCCTACCTTCCTTCCTTCCTTCCTTTCTGTCTGTCTGTCTGCTTGGCTTTCTTCCTCTATTTTTTGCTTTATTTCTCTCTTTTTGCTTTTAGATGCAAGAATGGTATGCTAGGACTAAGCTGTCAGCACTCTGCTTTGCATTTTGGAAAGGCCAGTTCTGGATTGCAACAGGTTTAATGCTTTGACAGTTTAAGGCACTGATTGATGTTATTTACAGCCCACCGTATATTTTAAGGTATGGAAGATATGGAATATTTTTCTGATTTCTCATTCACTTCTCTATACAAGTAATACTTATTTTAACTAGTTTAATTCATTAAATTCTGAGTGGATTTTAACATCATTTTGTTTTGCATCTGTTATAAGTACCCACCTTTCTGCTTCCAGATTTTAATTTACAGTACAATACAGTTTGAATGTTTATTTCCTATAGTGCAACAAGGTCAAGCTCAAGAAATGGCAGCTGATGATGACATACCACCAGAAGACCCTGTGCAATTTAGAGTGGTAGATCTGAGGAAAATGGTTGTTAGGGAAGTCAAAAAAGATGGTAAAAAGCAAAAAAAAAAGCAAACTAGACAAACGGTTCATTTTTCACAAATGCAAACAATTTTGGGGGTGATGTACTTAAAAGGCTATGCAATTTGTCTATTCTAATCATACAACCCACAAGTTTGTTTCTCTAAAGTGCTAAATTGAATAGTAATGCAGTTGTTAAATGTAAAAATTTAAGCACCCACTGTCAATTTTCCCATAAATTTGCAGAATATATATGGTGTATTTTCATGTAGGGAGATCTGAGCCTGGATGGGGGAAAGAAGCATGCTGACCAGTTTGGTGGCCTGAAGAAGTTGAGTTCACAGATGTAAATAAAAGCAGCAAGCGACCACATCTGGACAATTTAATTTCAATAACGCATTCATGCAGAAATTGGAATCAACAACAGCACCCTCAAGAGGTTGACATCACAGTAAATCGTTCTGCTCACAGTCCTGTGATTCCCATTCCTGTATCATCAACACCAGCTTCTGCATTTATTTCTGATCCTCCCTCATCTGCCCCTGAAGTTTTTGCAAGCCCCATTTGCCCTCCTGCTCCTTGATCAACACCTGCTGTCACCACTTCCATTTCTGATCGTCCCTTGGCTACTCCTGAAGGTCGCGTTTAACCTTCTCTTGTATTTGAGGACATTGTAAAGAAGAAATTTGGAAGTGAATCAGTTTACTGCGGTAATATGTGGCAATCTGTACTGCAAACCTGCAGTAAACTGAATCAGATCGAAACATCAAAGATGCTGAGTATTCTAGGAAAACTGAATGAAGATGTAAGCTTCCTGTTATTAATTGAACTCCTTTTTGTTCATTACTTTTTTTGTGCATGTATGGGTGGCAAACAAATAAACAAACATACCATGTCATTTATTTATTTATTTATTTCACAATTTAATCTAGTCTAGGATGCAAGTATTTTGTTTTGAATTTACCATTCCTGAACATTTCTCTATGTCATTTCATCAGCTGTCAGCCAAACTTTTAATACCAGTTGTTTAGCTAGAAGCTTGGGAAGGGGGCTATGTCCAAGCAGTTTGGTCCTACTAACTCCAAAAGGTGGATATTGTTTATTTAAGGGTCCACTAATGCCAGGCCAATTCCAGCTCTTTCGTGTGATGTTCAAAAAGTTTTTTTTTCAACTTGATGATTAGGGTTGGGGCATTTAATGAGGAATCCATCATGAGGGCAAACATTCATGAGAGTTAATTAACAGCCTTTGACTATTAATATTAATTTCATTTTGTTTACCAATTCGTGATCTACCTATTAATGCAAGATGTTTTTTCCTTTCGTAGACTGAAATCCATACAATCATAAAGCCCCAAATTGCAAGGGACATTTTAGGATGCATGGTCAGATTGCCTTGGGAGGTGAACTTAAGTTTATCTCCTCACAGCCTGGAACATTTACCAAAGATCTCTTCATGTCAGTTTATCAGCAGCAAGAATCAGCGCAGACTTCCTGAGCGATAAAAAGTTCAGTAAAAGTTATTAACTTGGAATGATTATCATCATCATTGTTATTGTTACTATTATCATTATTTTCATTTATAAATTTTATTTTATTGGTTGTTATTAACTTCAAATTCTATTGCCTTTAGAGATTTTCCAGCTATGTTGACCAGTCCATTTATGAGCTTGGTCTGGAGCCATTCTACTCAAGTGGGGATGGAAACTGCTTTTATAATTCACTATCCATACTCATGTCTGGACATGAAAGTGACAATGAATTTTTTAGACTGGGTGCAGCAATGTATGGTCTTGCTCACTATAACCACATTGTTGATGCAGTAAGAACAATCAGTTATCTTTTGTTATGTTTGCTAAGCGTATTAGTGTACAATTTTAATGTCCTTGTTTCATGTTTTAAGTGAACTTTAACAGAGGTCAACCTCTGGATCTCTTTTTCAAAGCAGAGACTGAGGCATAATAAATTAATCTTAAATTAATCTTTAAAAATTAATTTATTAGTTCTTTCTTTAGGTGCTTGTTTATGTGGTTGCTTGTTATACAAAAATATTTTAATCCGGCTGTTAGAGAAATTTGCTACTTTGATATTCTTGGATTACTTAGCAAGCAAGCTATAAGGTTGTGACTTTTTTCTTTATCCTCTAAACACTAACTGCCATTCATGTCAATTCATTTCTTTTCATCAACTTCATTTGTTTCCTTGACTGCTTGCAAAACCTAAAATCCTTTGATCCCTTTTGATAATTACACAATGATTTCTTGTGCACACGGTTTTCAATCATATTTGACAACTGTCCAATAAACTAATATCTGTAGTAGATGGATAGATATCTTTATTAAAAATCCCATGGCAGCCTAATAGGGCTGAATTGCATGATTATTTACAATACAATACTGGCTAAAATTGTAGGAATAGTAGTCATCTCAGTGTCATGTTAACTGTTCCTGTAGTTACTTATTACCCTCTCTTTAGAAGTAACTAAACTGCATTTTGAAAAATTATATTCCATTCGCAATATAACTTTAAAAGGAGTTACTTTGTGCTTCTGTCATATTTCTTTTTACAGAATGCGTGGAACTTTAGTGATAGAGGCAATGCTTTGTAGTGGGCAGCCAGTGTGAGCCTTTCACCAATCGAGGTTCAAGAAATTAAAGACAAATCCATTCAGGAAACTGTTGCAAAAAGTGTCTAAACCCAAGTCTTCAATGCCTTAAAGAATTTTACTAATATTGGTAACTAACTTGTGACTTCTTTTGAATCAATTCCACATCTTTATCATCTCATTACAACCAGTTATCAGCTCGTTCCTCCAGTCAAGTTGGCATTACAATACTGACATCCGCAGTTTTTTTTAAGAACTCTTGCAGGTAACCTTTGCTGCTGGCTTTTTGAAGAAACCAATACAACAGCACTGCGAACTGTCTGGGGCTGTATGGTACAACACAAAACAAAGTCCTCCTTGTTGCTTCCAGCCAGACAGGGAAGAGGGGCCTTTTCACATCATCTGACTGCCACTTACAGGACAAGGAAACACCTTCAACCATATATGCCCCCTTCTGCCATGGAAGTGTGATGCATTAGATGCTTTCTTGTGCGTGTTTTGGCGAGGATTTAACGCCTAACATTCAAGTCGCAATGAGATGGTGCAGTGCCTTACCTGCTTTGAATGATACCACTGCGTTTGTTTGGGTATTTCTTTCGAAGAGGCCAAGGATTCCACCATAGTGGATTGTGGCTGTACGTTGCCCCACCCATATCGGAGCCATGACATGTGAGTGTACAGTGGAATCCCTATTTTTCCAACCTCCTGAGAACTCGAACCCTTGAAATGCTGTTTCCCTTCCCTCAGTCAAACACTGTAACTTTACCCTCGATTCCTAAAGCAACCTTATTATTTGAACAAAGTTTTGTTTATCTTGAATGTTGGAAAAAATCTTGATTCCACTGTTCTTTCTCTGCTACTTTTTTGTTTTGGCTCGTTTATAATGTTTTCAAACGCAGCTTACTGTTCATTTTATCTATTATATTTTGTAGATCGGTGTACTCAAATCAAGGTAGCATTCTGCGGTTTCTAACGAAGGCGTATTTGAAGGTTTGTACGTTAAAGATACACTTATTATAAGGATTTTATCAAATCTAACTTACGGGTTAAAGTTTACATTGCTTCCTTTCCTTTTCAGACATCAACAACAGAATTCCTAATTAACAAAAGTATACATTAAGGCTAGCATTGAACACCGAACATCGTCTTTTGTCGCACCGAGACTTGGTGAGGTTGGTAACAACTGGACCCCTCGGAGGACACGCGGTAATTTCATTTGTAGATTTAAAAATATCTAAACAGAAAGAATTTCGATACTTAGAATCGCTTGTAGGACATCGACGATTACTGATTGTGTACAGGGACAAGTTGCTTTGCGACGTAATTTCGTTTTTTCAGTGTTCTTTAAAAGATGATTGTTTAAATGCCATTATTCCGCATAACGCAAAAATAACATGCTCGCACGGCCTTAGTTTAGTTTAGTTTCGCGATTTTCGGCTCTCATGGTACACAACATGCAGGAAAATTAAAACTAACAAAAAAGTAAAGCGACCTTTGCGTTTTTTATCTAGTGCCTATTGACATTATGATCCCTTCGTTTTCAAACAAACAGGCCGAGCGTATGACAGCAGTTGCAATGCCTATCATTGCTTCACTTACGAAAGACCTTTCCCTACAGACCCGGCTCTTTATGGATGTGATGCTACCAGAAGTATTGTATTTGAAATTGTTTCTAGAACGGCACGGCTTATGGTTTAGTATCTGAAGACTTATCATATTTAATCTTTCAATTATATACCGCGACTTTTCCAGCTTAAAAAAGGGAGTTTTTGATGACAAGAATTATCCGTGACGGTCACCTCCTAACTTGCCCAGTGTTTTACATGTAATTTTTTGGGTTGACAGATTTCCAGTATGCTATATTTCCAGAGGGTGTACACTGCAAACCGTTTCTTATTTAGGAAGTTATTTTAAACCACAACTGTCTAAAAAGTTCTTGCTTTTTCTTCTTATCTTTCAGAGCATAATCAAGTTCATCATGGAAAAAGAGGATCTCAATTATTTTAGAGCTTCAATTTTCTTTCAAAATAGTCTTGTTTCGGCAGCAACTTCATAGATAGTTTTAGGCTCACTTTGCCAAACATAATTGTCGGTTTTATTACATAATCACGACAAACCACATATCAAATTGTGGTCAGCAATACATTGGCGAAAGTTTTGATCCAGGTGCTTCAGGAAATTAAATCCAGTCCGCTCTTAACTTCGCGTATTTTATCGTGTACTTTCCTATGTTATTGAAAACCCTTAATAACAGGAATAAATTTCAAGAAAATAATACATCTGTTGGTAGTTATACGTCTTAGGTTATTTGAAATGAAATAATTATTAGGTGCTACACCAGCTCACTTCTTTAAACCAACGAGAAAAATTCCTCATCTTCACACTTCCGATACGATGTACCTTTTCTATGCAGCCTTGTTTCCTTAATGCGGTAAATCTATCCATCATAAGCATTTGTACCAAAACAGGAAGAGTATTTAAACGAAACCGCAACACAAAAAAGGCCCAACTCATTTGATAAGTATGTTTAAATTACTCTGAATAAACCGGAATAATGACGTTACGCGGACAAAACAATCGAAACTTTGTCCGACTTAAGAAAATCATTTACATTGCAATGAACAGCCTTGTAGTCAGTCAAGTGTTACTAATCATGATCAAGATAAGAAAGGGAAACAAAAGGCAAGAAACTATTTTCTATCATTTAGTCTTGTTAATATATATATTTAGGCAAGCCTTAAAGCGGAGCTCCACGGTTATGTGTTGTTTACTGCACTTAAGAATATATTTTTTCCATTCTGGTAAATAAGCGGCTGAAATATTAAAAGTACAGTTTATATTGGATCATCGGTGTTGAATTAAAGTCGCCTACGGTTAAACTAAATACTTTCATGACAAAGCAAAATCTGCCCATGGCACCTCAAATGATCTTGAGACGCAATCAGTTAAACTCAAGATGTTCAAAATTAGCTCACGGCAACAACAAAAGACAAAACACGTAAAAATCAAAACAAAACAGAGAGTAGAAACCAGTTTTGAAACTGTAAGAAATCAAATCATTTCTACGCAGCGCGAGAAAATGCCGAAATGTGAAAATAAACAGAAACAAGAGATCAATTACTTTATGAGATGAAGCCTCAAATTCCCAACTAACAGTCGCCGAATGAAACAAACTTGAAAGAAACTTCAAAACGATTAATTTTCATTCAAGATGCAGACAAGAAAGAAATTGAAAAGGGCGGGAATGTTCGAAATAAAATAAGACAGGCCGTTTTGCATTGGACAGCCTGTTCAAATTAATTTAAATCCACACTGTATTACCACGCTAAAATAAATAACGGTCAATTTTCATTCAAGATAAAGCTTGAAATGTATCGACAAACTAGAGACAATTCGTTACACAGCGGCCGCCGATCTGTTCAAAGTAGTCGAATTAATTAAGGCGAAAGATCTGATTTTCAACCGACGGCTTCAGCGGGCACTTGACGCTAAAACTAGCTAAAACTGTAAAACCACTAAAAACTGTTTTACTTTAACCACCGCGTTCTTTTCTACCATTTATTCCGGTTTCTAAAACTGTATAACCACTGAAACTGTTACATTGCTACACCTTGGGACTCGAGCTGCTTACGCCGTAGCGAATTTCGATACCAAATGAATATTTTACAATGAGTCATGAAGTTCTTTTCGTTCATGTATGACAAGGATCCTTTAAGAGACTTCAAGCATGAATTGGCTTGTTCTGCTGCCTGACTGTTTAAGGTGTCCCACTGAGGATAACGGGAGAGGTTGTAAGCATCAGAGCAACCTGAAAAAGGAAAAAAACAGTTTCGATTGCTTTGCATTGGTACTGAAAAAGTTAAGATTAAAGACTTCGAATGTGCTTCAATAAATGTGTGTAATGTGCCATTAGATTAGTAGGAGGGGGATAGACCCGAGAGCATAGTTAAATGAACACCGAAGATGAAAGACGGCCAAACCAAAAAAGCCAGTTTTGGGGTGATTTACGTACCTGTATGATTCCGCCAACGCAATCGATCCACTAGGAACTGACAGGATCCCGATTTCACAACACGAACGCAAATTGTAAGCGTTGTTGTAGACAATCTGGCAGGGATCTGTCAAAAAAAAGGCAGAAAAATTGTAATGTTTATTATGACTCGTTCAATATAAAATCACTCTGATAGAGGAAATCAAGAGAAGAAAAACTCCCAAAAAACCAGGCCCCGGTTGTCCAACGGGTGGATAACGCTATCCACAGAATTAATCATTACTCACCTTTAAGTGTTGTGATAACATACAACGCTATCCACTGGATAGTGATTTTTCCGGTGAATAGCGTTATGCATCCTTCAAACCGGGCCCAGGTAATAAAAAGAAATTTTCTTCACACACAACGGCATCCAATCAAAGGCCACAACATACACATGCACATTAAATCGAGCTTACCTCCTGAGAAACGCATTCAAAACACTGTAAATGGGATGTTGGGAGATTCATTGCAAAGCATTACACTAAATCCATAAGTTGTACCTAAAATGAAAATCAGAAGAGAAGATATCAAACCGTTTCAAACATAATCACAGCAACACTGGGTACACTGAGTGCATGAAAGCATGTTGTGTAAGAACATGTAATGAAGGCTGAAGAGAGGGTGTAACTGGGGTACATCACTAGACAATAGAAATCAACAACCTTTATTTATACAGGTCGTTATGCCATTTAGCCAATAAATTGTAAGAAAAACTTCGATTTAGTCAGTAAACAGCAAAAAACAAAACAAAACAGTTAAGTTAGTTAATTTGTGCGATTCTTTGACTTGACAGCTGCAGATGTTATACTTCTGAAAACTAAGCGTTACAAACAGTTTCGGTCTTTCAAGAAAATGACATTTGTTGAGAAAAACCTAAGCCTGATAACTAAAACCACAGGCAGAGCGTAAACCCGGAGCTTGTCAGGATAATCTGGAATAAACAAAGGGTAACAATAGCTAGTTGGGGGTCAGAGTGAACTGAAATTTACAATTTTTAAAATCAGAAGTAATGTTGTTCGTCGTAGAAATTAATACAAATATTAATACAAACTCAACATTACTGTACCGTGTTTGTAGTGCACTAAGAAAACTCCAGGAAGTAAGGATGGGTGTCAAGTACTCCTCTTTGCGCAGATGTTTGGAGTTGTGTCATCCAGGCAATAGTCACCACAATTTCTTACCACAGGCAGGCAAGGATAGTATTCTACATCATTTGTGCGGTGTACATCCAGTTGCACAGCATCTGGTATTGATCCATTTCTGCTGAACGGAGACTTTGCTTTTTCCAACAGGTCAGTAATAAATGCAGTCAAGGCCTCAGGAAGCTGATCTCCCTCTCCCTTGTTTTAAGTTTGTTTGCTGGAGTAGAAGCATGTCTTCAGGACACTGCTCGACTGGTCCGTTGCCAATGAGTCTGCGGTAAAATGTTTCCAAGGAGTCCAATTGGGGGAGAAGTGGGGAAGCTTTTCCTAATGCATTGAAAAGTCCAGTAATAGGTGTTGGAAAAGAGACATCAGATCCACAGAATAAAATGCACCAGGAAAGAAAACTACCTTAGGCAGGTGCACAATGCTGCAACTCCAGGTGTAAAGAGGTCATTACTGTGTAATGTAACCTTGCTAACATCACGGCCTACTTGATCCATCATCTGCCTGACATGTTTTTCAGCAAGGTAAACCCTGTCACGATGCCTAGTGATGTCATAAAATATTAAATAATTAGCCTAAATGCAGATCTCTTCAAACAAAGCAAATAAAAACAGGTGATATTTAGACACATTAAAAGTCCATCTCACTGAATGTAGGAGGAACTGGAGCTGGTCTTAGTCTGGTCTCAACCCCTCAACTGATCCAGAAAAAGAAGACCTCATTCCAAGGTCTTTGCAGGGTCAATGAGACACACAAGCTTCACCACCACGACAAGGTGCCAGCCCAAGGTGAAGGATTAAAAATATTTAAAATGATTATATTAATCAGTAATCAAACTGAATCAAGTCATAGTCTTTGCATCAACAGATTAATATATTATATCATGCTCACATTCTAAAATAGAACTCCTTGAATCATACTGGGAACCAAAATAATAGAATAAATAATGCATAAAATATTTTTTAAAAAAATCATAAGCATAAATAGCAACTTATCTTCCTGTTTCTCGTGGTACAGTCGATGGACTCGGTGATGAATAAGTAGACTTCAGAGAAGTACAAAGCTCTTGTCTGGAGGATGGTGCTTTAGCATCACAAATGACAGTGTGCAGACTGTTATCTTTGCCACAGATGGCACAACAAAAACCTTCTTCATAGTTTATGTCAAGAAGGTTCAGGAAACTGCAGCAAGCAAAACGCCAGTGGTAGTACAATAACATCCTCTTGAAGTCCAATACATGTGCATCAGCCATGATCTCTTGCCAGACACCGTGGTATGTAAATAGAGTGCACCTAAAAAAAGAGAACATAATTTAAATATAGCTTTTTGAAAGACAATTGAATGACATACATGTACAATTTTATATTGTTCTTAACCCTTTCACTCCTATGAGTGACCAAGACAGAATTTCTCCTTACAATATCAATATAATATCAAGCATACAAGTGATGAGAATAAAGAAAAAATACCAATTTGAGGATTATAAGTTGATCCAATACCAAATTCTCTGAACTAACATCACAAGAACTGTATGGCAGACAGTAAGGAGAATTACTGACGAGATCTTGGGAGTTAAAGGGTTAAGACAATGCTTTTCAGTCAATGTCACAGGCAAAACTTCAGAGATACAATAAATCAGAACCCTCAGCTCTTAATTTGTTAATTATTTGGTTTTTTTCTGGTACCTGATTCTCATTGTAAACCATCGTGTGCAGACAAATGAGTCTTTGATTGTTTAGTATAATTGTTGTAAATTATAATTTTTGTTATAACTGTCTGCTGGGTGTGTTCCAGAAACATTTAAATTTATTGAACGAAGTACATTATTTGGTATTCAGATGTCACAATAATGTTATTTTCAAATTCACTGCTAACTATTGGGTGGTATGTGATTACTTGAAAAAATTTCAACATTATGTAATTTTCATTTGGCCATTCTCAACACAACATCAAAGTAACATGCAATAAGTGTGTAGGCCTGTAAGACTTCAACTTTTAAAATGCAACAGAGAATCAATTTATGATACAGAATAGGATACATGTACCCCCCCCTTAAGAAAATGAAACAAAAATCCCTCAAGACGTCATAAGAAACAATGTAGGAAGCCATGTTTAACAAAGCAAGCTCTGAGCCATCAAACTCCACTTTTCCATCACAGATTTCCTCAACACAAGTATAATATAATACTGAAATGAAACATACAGGAATCATTATTTTCTTATTACAAAAATTTTATGATAAGATGACATAAAATTACTCATATGTGACGTGTTAGTAGCCACAGGCATGAACCATTTCATATTGTATTCAGAACATTTATGCTTGGAGAATATATAAATTTAAGTTATATTATGATTGTAAATAGGGAGCTTAAGCACACACAAGTAGTTTGATCCATGGACAACAACTGGAAGGTGGATGTTGTTATTTTTGATGCATTGATAACTTCACCAACAAATTTGAAAGCTCCAGTTTTAGAAATTAAAACAAAAGACTACGAATGAAAAGTCAGTAATAATTATGCCACAAAGAGGAGAACATTTCTGATTTCTGGTTGCCATCCATGGCTGAAAAATATCTGTGCTAGAGCTACACAAAAACCTTGTGTTGGTTTTTAGCAGTCCATCTGTATTCACCTTGAGCTGAGGCAAAATAATAACAATAATTTACTTGGCTCACTGTCAGTTGAGGGTTTTCCTCCTGATGGATGCCTCACGCCAGGCTGTCGACAGCTATCATCCAATCAATTGGTTTGAAATCTGAATGAAATTTTCACATTACCTGGACAACCTTCCCTGTATGGTTTTCATTTTTCAGTCATTTCTATCCCATTCGTGATAGTGAACACTAATTGAACACTTCATGAGATAAGATAATTAGTGCAAGGAATTTCTTACCTTCACATTGTCATGTCTGCTTTTTCAAAAAGCTCAAAGCTTGTGTAGTCTGACTAATGCACTGCAATGAACACTTTGGGCAGGAGGGAGACAAGTTGGGAGTAAGCAGCACCAAATCAGTAGTTGACATTTTGCCACAAAGAACATCTTCCAGAGAGGAGAATACTTTTTTTTGTGTTGTTGATAGATGGAATGGTATTTTTTTTACAAGATACTGATCTTATTTTCCACTCTTTATGAGTGGTGGCTGCTGCAACTGATTCAGTAGACTCTTGAAAATTTCTCTCAGCAAAAAAATCGACCAGAAAATCATGCATTTTGTGTCCCATTATTTCCTCAGATTCTGCTACTTTTGTTACATGCTCACAGTTGTGACACTGGTGATCACAGATAAAGAAAGTGATAAGTGCAACTTGGAGGCCAACTACTCCATGCTGTTTATTTCCACATACAAAAATTGTAAAATTATTCCCATTCAAAGGCAACAAGTCATGATGTTCCTCCTGAGATAGAAAAACAGCAAGAACAACAAGCAAGTAGACTGTGGAAATGCTACAATCATTTCAGATAGTCTTTACTTAAATAACAGATACAAATGGAAAAATATGATGTTTACAGCTACTTACAGCAACTTACAGCAAATAATGCACTTGTCATTTCTCTAAGAATATAATAACCTACGATTCACAAATAGCTCTACTCTGAAGGGGGCCTAGCTGTTTAAATACACAAATTATGTTTTAACATAATTTAACTTAAACCAAAATCATTAGGATGAGTGAAAAATAACCAGAAAATGTTGACAAAAGCAAGATTAATGTTAGTAATAATTCCAAAATTTTAACGTTCTAAAGCAAAAAAATTCCTTCATCTTACTTGGTAAGTGTGATCATGAGAATATGTGTCTCTGGCAAGTGAAGGGGTAACGTTGTTTTCCCTTTCAAAGCTTTCCATCAACTTTTCAGTGGCTTCAAAATGGATACAATTCCCATAAACAGAACTAGCTGAAGTTAAACCTGTGAGAAACATTTCATAAACAATACTTATTATTACATATAATTTATTACTCAATTTAATACTGAAATGCAAGGGGGCCTGGGACACAGTCAAAGACCCAGGGGTCAAATTCAAAACAAAATAACTAAATGAAGACAGCTTATAATCCTGTTACTAGTAGTTGGGGCCTTTCATTTCACAACTCAGGTTGTTAGAATTCAATAGAAAAAACATTTGACTAGCACACGAGGGTGCTTAAAGGAGGCTGGAGAAATAATTGGCAACAATAAAAAAGAGAAGCTGTAAGAAAGAGGATGGGAACTGCAGTTGCCTCCTAATGTATAGCAGAAATAAACGGCACTTAATGAATGTGTACATGAGATACAGTTATTGTCTACATTAAAACTGTGACTTGGATGAACAATTTTATTGGAGTATTTTTATAAATTATTTATCTCAGTTTATATGCTTGTATTAACTTTCTCCTGTGACTGTTGATGACAGTGACTGCAAATAATTTGTTCGCCTTGTGCCTTCAACACATTTGCAATGATAGATCTAAATGTTATCCCTGGGTTCTCTTTCAACAATCACATATTTGGCTTCTTGATGGTAGGGGATAAAAAATATATAAGGTAAACAATTGATTTTGTTTGGCATAAGCACAAGTACCACATTATATCTAGTTATGAGTAATCTAAATGGCTACTGTGCTAACCAATAAAAAAAACAGACATTTTTAATGTGCCTCAAGGGTACAAACCACAAACGATTTGTGCCACATCACAGAATGTCTAACCTCCTTGTACATGTACAAGATGCACTAGAAACTACAGAACAGAGAACCCAAAATATAAATAAATATTAAACATTAGATATAAAATATTGAACAAAATCAAAACTAATTATGAATACCAAAGGTGAGCAATTAGGATATTTTATATTGTATGTATACAGCGATGTATTAATACTACCAAGGTTTGAGTCTTGTTTAGGTAGAAAGGTCTACTTTACTACGTGAAATTTACACTCCTATGTATGGTAAGAGATCTGTTTTTAATTGAAAAATGCATGTAAAATCTTCTTTGGAAAAGAGGAGGTATTAATTATATAAGCTTCAACCCAATATAAAAGAAAATAACGAGGAATAAAAAAATTAATACTGTCATTGTGTGTGATTCATCACAACTAATAAACAAAACAGTTTCCCATATATATGTGGAAAAAAAAACAGTCTGTCGAATGAGAAATATCTTGGTTACTACAGATATCAGTTTTCCTTGACTTTTTTTATACATGCCAACTTCCCATGACTCAAAATAAAATTCCATGGCTTCTTTCCTGATCTTTTCCTGACATGTAGCACACCCGAATATAATTTATGGAGTACATGCTTGAAGAACTTAAGCTTAAAATGACTGTAAAAAACAGAATCGAAAACATTTTTAATACATGCAAAATTAAGACTTACCAGCAAAGCATCTAAAGTTGGTCTAGGTTGTAACGCCTGATGAGAAGGATTTTCGAAATCATCTTTACCAGTCGAGGTGGTGACCGCAGTAATCAAATCAGATGTCTTCTTTGATCCTCTACGTCTAATCTTCTTTGGCACAAACTGCGAAAAATTGCACGGGCCTGTTCTTTTATTCCTCTCGCTTAATTCATTTTCATGAACGGCGGGAAATATTCAAAAAGGTGGAGTGCTGTTTTTCATCCGCCATTTTGTGCAATGCGGCAACATTTGTGTTTATGTATCATAAAGTGTATCAACATCTAGTGATTATTTTCGTGGTTTCGAGCAGAATCTCTGTAACAGAATACACCTCCGTAGTTACGTACACTCCACACCATAATATAACGTAGTACACGTGCGTACGGCCTTCTTAGCTATTAGGCACAGGAAGGGGTCCTGACACAGGCTAATAGGCACCAACAAATACAAAACTTAGTTGCAAAATCGCTATCGAATCGCACACGATCAAAGAAATGCATTTATTTAAGACAAAAAACAGCCGTACATGCACGTATTATATTACGCGTGACACTTGTAAATAAAGCTCTGAAAACTGCATACCCAAATTACCTTTCGGTCTAACTATCTCAATTAAATTATAATTGTAAATTAACTCATTTGCCGTATTTCTTTTGGCCTTCATGGACCGTTTGAAGTGTCTTTTTACAAATTTACTCTTGGCCGGAGACGGTTTAGGTTTGATATTACGTGGCCATGAATACGATGGTCACGTAGTCAAAGCTGTAAATGAAAACTTTTTACACCCAAACATTACTATGCATATTCTCCCAACTGTTCTCCATACATGTCCTAAGGTGCTGACAAGGAGAATTTTGTTCATCAGTCAAGAGCTGCTTAAGTTGGTGATCATTTCCTTTATTCTTGAGAACTAAATGTGTGATTAACGAGTGATATTGTAAGGAGAAATTAGATGCTGGTCACTCTTAGGGGTCAAAGAGTTAAGGGAATCTTAGTGTCCATGAGTTTGGGGATTCCCCTCATCTCTTTTGGAAACATGCCTTCCAAACATTTATTACCATCCATTGTCATTTTGTTGTCTGCCAGTCTGACTTGCAAGGCAAAGAGCTTGGCTCAGGTTTTTTTCAGCATCATTTTCTTCTCTTTTGGTGAAGAAGCCAATTCAATCCCACAGAAACCAAAAATAAAAATGTGTGAGGATGTAGTTGACATAAAATAAGTATTTTAGGGTGAAAGAAGATGGCAAGTAGAACGAAACACCAAAACTCTTTGTTCCTTTTAACTTTCACTTGATTTCTCCCCCCAGCTTCAGTCCCTGCATTGCAGCTGTGTTCTCAGGAGTTGTGTCATTAGCTCTTGCAGGCTGCCAATATGGACAGAAAAATAGAAGTCAAATGAACCTTCATTGCCCTGTAACTGCCTACATTGAATATGATCACGATAACAGGGTGCTTGTATTAATGAATAGAATCACCTAAGGTTGTGGTATGTATGCTGATTACAAGTTTTACTCAGTTAATTGACACCATGAAAAGTTCAGTATAACTAAAACTTGTCTTTCATATGTAGCCACAGTCAAATGGACAGAATTCAGATAATTCCTTATGACTGAAAGACGTCACAAGACAGAGATATGGTAAGGGAATTTCATATTGTACCCATTCCACTGGTCACGTGGGTTAAAATTAGAATCTATAGAAAACAACTCCTATGGAATCTAACAACTTGCTATTGGTTCTAATAAAAAGGTAGGCTGATTGACATTGGTTTCAAAACTAACAAAAAGACCAGGTCAACCCCTTAAAGGGCATGTAAACCCCAAAATACATGTTTTCCTTATACTATGTAAAAAGTGGCGTAGAAAACGAATTTGAAATTAGTTTTGTCCAATTCGACTTATTTTAGGGGAAAATCGGCATTTTCAACTGAAATTCCAATTCCGGTAAAAACAATAGCGAGAAGTCGTGACGTAAGCGGTGGAACCAAAATATTGCGCAACACATATTCCCCAGTAGAACTGGTGTGGGAGTTCGTGTAAGTAGCGGTAGTTCGGAAGATGTTTTTTCAGAAGATAGCGACTCGAATGCCTTAAGCTTAGTACATGACAGCGCTGGAGATAATCCAGAATCTTCAGGAGAGTCTGGGCCACGTCCTTAACAATATGAGCCGCGTAGGGTTCACCGAAGCGATCCGCACGAAGACAGTACAGAACATGTCGACAGCGATGCGACTGTCTCGGAAACTCAGACTGGTATTTAATTTACTTTGTGATCTATTTGTATTTAACATGAAAATGCAATAAAGCGAGGGTACAATCTAAAGGAATGCAACAGAATTTTTTTAAACTTGAGCTTCTGAGAGTGTTTTATATAAAATTATCAAAGGTGCGAGTGTGGAACTTGTCAACCAATGCCGACAACTCATGAAAGTGTTTGTTGTACGGAAATCGGGCAATTGTGACAAAATGGCCTGAAACCCAGATAAGTTGTATCACTGAGCATCCAGGTTTTCAGTCAATTTGCCTCGATTTCTGGGTGCTGGAGACGGCCAAGTACGCTTACAGGCAGCAGCAAAGCACAGATAATCACACCGGAAACGACTGAGCTAAATATTTTCTGTTTCATCTGTTTTGTTACATTTTGAGATCGATTTACTTGAGTTGTTTCTGCCATTGATTTAATAATACAGTACTAGAGCTGGTTGTTTTTCGCTTCTTTCCTGGCAGGAAATTTCGCTAAATTGCCTACAGATAGCTTGTTCGTTGGTGTTGGGGATATCTCGGCAAACACTTTAGGGTCGCTGTGCTATCTTGTGCGGTAAACAATATCCTTCATCTCAGAAGCATTTCCATCGATAAACAAGTTGTATCATGTACATTTCCTTGTGTGGCCTTCATAATTATCCAACCCTGTTTGTGTTTGCTTCGATTTGAAATATTGAAAAGATAGTTTTGCAAGCTGAAATCAGGATCTTTTAAGTTGTACTCAAAATGATGAATATTGTCCTACTGACCTTTGAATGTATTTTCACTGCTGTGAAAACCGCGACACAAATTATTCTGCTGTCTCTCTGCAGGGTTTCTCAAAGGAAGCACTAAGTGGGGCTGGCATGGATTTTCTTATAGAACATAAGGGTTGATTATGGGATCCTGTATAGAATTCTTTATATAGAACCGACAAAATTCCAGATCACGTTATTACACACTGATATCAACGAATTCTCTTTCTTTGATACGTGTTTCGAATTCAGGCAAAGGTTCAGACATGTCAGTGTCTTTTACGGGCTCAGCGCTGGCTCCCAAACAACTGACTTCCCCATAATCTTTCATTAGATGAGAAAAAAGATGTTTTTAGAGAACCAATAAAGCTATTGTTGTTTAATTAACGAAACGTTCTCATGTAAATCGATTTTGTACTTTCTCTGTTGACCTCTAACTTTTGAAGAGCTCAACTTCTTTCTCAGTTTGGTCAGCCACTTCCGAATCCTCGTCGTCTGCCGACTGTATGGGTTGTTTTTTCGTCTTCCGAATAATTTGCTTCTGGTGAGGCCTGAATCGTCGGTACAGCACCAGGAAGAAAAATGACTGCTACAAACAACAGAACGTTCGAACGGCTCGACGAAATCGGCTATTTTCACTTGAACAAATTTCACAAATTGTCGCTTCAAATTTGCGTCATTTAGAAATATTTGCATTGTATGCCCAGTTTTGTTTGAATCAGTACAAAACTGGACGGCACAACGCTTCACCATTACGAAAAAATTGATTATATTGAAGTAAACTGTAAGTAAAAAAATCATGACGAGACCAGCAAACAACGGCTGTAGAAAAGACTCCTTCATGCCTCACGCGATTATAAAACGAGACTTTGAAGGGTCCACCCGTGACGTCACAGGAAAGATGGCGCCATTCAAGATGGCGAATGTTTCGAATTTGGAAGAGCTTTTACAAAGTGAAAATGGACTTTTGAGAATAAACGAATGGTACCTTTGGTGTACTTGATATATTTACTAAACATCTATGTGAAAAGAAAATGAACGTTTTTTGGGTTTACATGCCCTTTAAGTCCCACTAGTGACCAAGACAGAATTTCTCCTTACACTATCGGTACAATATCAAGCAGACAAGTACAGAGAATAAAGAAAATATCAATTAGGGGATTGTTAGTTGATCCAATTCCAAATTCTCCAAACTAACATTATATGAATTGTATGGCAGACAGTAAGGAGAATTACTAATAAGATCTTGGGAGTTTAAGGGTTAAATAAAACTGACTGTGACATTTATTGGGTGGTGTGACATGGTTTTACTCAATAAAGAAATTGTCTTGCTTGGCCAGGACTTCCCACTGTTTCTAAGTAACCAGAATAAAGAGAAAAGTGCTTTGTCCTGATGGTAAAGCACCTTGCCCTGGTTGTTGAAAGGCTGAATGGTGCTATCCACTGAATAAATCTTTATCTAATGGATAACACTATTCGCTTTGTAAAACCTATCCACTGGATAGGGATTTTTACTTTTTTCTTAGAGGGCACAGAAACGAATCCTGCAATCTGATTGGTTCTTAGTACAGTCCATATTTTCCTATCTCTGCCCACGGGCAACGGTAACGCTTTCATGAGTCACCAAGTACATCCCTACACCAGTGACTAAATACAGGAATGGCTCCAACCTCTAATTGGATGATAAAAATAATAAAAGTTTATAAGTTATATCTTAACTTCATGCTCGTGAGTATTGTTTACCTGTGTGTCTCGAAGTAGAACAATGAAATATCAATGCAAGTGAAAACACCGATGTATCAAACAAGAAATGGTTACTAACATAACGAAGGGATTGCAGAGCCTTTCTTGTCCAATGAGGTAGTTTAGCGTTACTCTGACGATGACAGAATTATTCACTGACTAGCTCCGCTGACTAAGCTCATTTAACCAGTTCAGGCAGACGATCAGAGACTGGAGCCATTCCTGTATTTCAACGCTGACAGGAATAGCTCCTACTCATGCGTTCATTATTTTATTTTTTTATTTTTTATTGTTTTTTACTATTCATTTTGGCTAGATAATTTACACACTGAGATAAAAACTGAAAGAGCGTTTTACTACGTTCTTCCTATATTGAACTCTACAATGCTTTTAAATGAAGCCCTCTTTTATTCATGCAGGGCCATGTACTTCTTCAGTAATATTTATTATATGATCAGTACGACCCCCCCCCCCGGGCGCTTTTATCAAAACAATTATAAGTAAATCCCCGTGTAAGGGTCTGCGAGATGCGAAAGTAGAGAGAAAAAGACAGTGTGACACTCATATAATAAAATTCTTAATGATTGAGTAAGGTCGTGAACAGATGTTTGAATGTGGGTAGGTTCTTGAAGACAACCCTAGTCAGTTCCCACGCCCAGAAAATAGCTCCATGGATCCTGACTACCGGGAAGCATCTAGTGATACTGCATACCACAACAGCGCCAGCGAGATAAACCTCTACGAGACTGTCTTAATAAAGGAATTGTGGGCGAGAATGGGGAAAGAACCATAGAGAGGACAAAACAATCCCTTAAGGCGAAATTGCTCAAAATGATCTATGATGTTGAAGTCTGTGAAGATAAGGATGCGCTGCAACAGTTAGAGAAAAGTGTCAATTCCTCTTAAAGTTTGTTCACTTCGATGGTGCTGCACAGGCATGCGACAAGTACACTGTCGGCTGCTATACCTAAAGGGAATGCACCTGAATCAAAAAATTGAGGTCCAGAAACATTTCTTTTCCACCAAACGAAAGACACAGAAGAGAAATATCAGGTTGGAAAAACCAAACAAGAAGAGAAGATGGAAATGATTGAGAATTGTTATAATAATGAGCAATAAGAGCAGAACAACAGCAAAGTACCTGTAGACTTCACATCTGGCAAAACGATGGCGCACAAGGCATGTTGTGTTTCATTGTTTGAAATTTTTTCTCCCTTGCCTATCACACCTGTCTCACCTCACCATCCGTTTATTTCTCTGGTAGGGTTGCAAGAAATGCTTCACTGGTTTACTAAGGAAAAACATTACTCCATTGAAGACCTGGTTAAATCTGCCATTAAACTGTCTGTTTCTGACGTATTGGATACAAACGAGGTATCTTTGATACTTGGAGAGGCAGTAGAAGCTAACTTAGTAGATTTGAAGAGGTTTATTACAGATGGTGCCTGGAAAGCAGTTTGCAAATTAGGTTAGGATGGCTCGTGTACTTTACAGGAAACGTGGTCTATGTTACAGTACTAATTCTTTCTTAAATTTACGTGGTATAAATACCTTGTCTCGAACAGTAGTAATATAATAGCAAACGAGATGTATACGTTCCAAAACAGGGTCACGTGATGAACAGTCTTCATTAGTTTCGAACAAGTTTCCTAAAATCATTTTGCTCTTTCTGGTTTTAGCCGAAAACTGTCCGAAGACTGATTGTGCCATCACTATGCAAAAAAAAAAAAAAGAATTAAAAGCACCAGTCGGAGCCATTCCTGTCAGCTATGAAATGCAGGAATAGCTCCAGTCTCTGATCGTCCACCTAAACTGACTAAATGAGTTTAGTCAGCGCAGTTAGTCAGCAGATGACTTAAACATCGCCGGAACATCGTTGGAAGACCCCGCTGAATGAGAAAGAAAGGCTCTGCCTTCCTTTCGTTATGAAAGTAACCATTTCTTGTTTGACACATCGGTGTTTTCACTTGCAGTGTTATTTCGAATTGTTCCACTTCGAGACACACGGTTAAACAATATTCACGAGCAAGGAGTTAAGACATAACTTAATAACTTTTACTATTTTTATCATCCAATTATATGTCGGAGCCATTCCTGTATTTAGTCGCTAGTCATCCCTACCTTCGCAGCCATTTTTAGGTAGTATTTTTAAGCAAAGACGTTGGTTACTACCTCCAACCGATAAATAACTTATTGATCCTCTCTTTTCTCTCTCTCAAATCACTTTGGTGAACAGAAAAATATTGGTTTCGAAATGAATTCGTATGAGAAAAAGTGTCATTAAATTGGTTGACAAGCGGCTTAAAACCCGCCTGTAAATAATTTGAATCCTTCACAGAAAGTACCTACAAAGTTAAAACGTGAGGAATTTGGTTACAATTGAATTCATCGATGGAACTTTCATTGATTTAATATCTGAATTCTCTCACAATTTGTTCGTAGTTAAAAGGCGAGCGAAGTTTTAAGTTCTACTACAAAGACCCTTTTGCTGAGTCTTTGCAAGTCCGTTCAGTTTAGAAATTTGGGAATTCAACAAGAAAAAGCCGCATTAATTCCCCTTGTGCCTAATTGAAGTGTCCCATTCGAATATGGTTGTTGTGGAGAAAAGACCAGATTTACACATGCCAATGCAGTAAACAAACGAGCAAACTCTCACAACTTCAAAATCAAATATTTGAATTTACTTACAGTTACTTTCCTTGCCATTTACTTACTGAACGGAGGTAAATCTTCGTGTTAGTTTCGAAACACTTAGTTAATTACACCTTATTATAGCTTTGTTCTGATTCATTTCTAAGTCTTTCGTTAGTTAATGATTATTACAGTAAGTTTGTTATCTCCGATCAAATTTCCACTTAAGTGCACGTGTAAAGATTCTATTTCAATCGTCGCTTTTAGTCATCGCTGCTAAATCATCACTGCTAAATCGTCGCTGCTAATTAATGGCTACAAGCTATTTACTGCCGTTAGGAGCTAGACCAAAGTAAGTTTTAATTTCTTTTACATTTACGTTATTTACCTTTTGTATGTATTATTGGTATAGTTTTCGTATTCTGTTTTCCGTGCAATCGCTTCATTTCTAGTTTGGTTAATGTTAAATTTAGCAACGCATTTTTCTTAGTTTCTGTTGTAATTTCCTTTAGTTCGAACCACACGCACGCAACCTCAACCGCTACTCTCATCAAGAAAATTTCGTCTTAGCGCTAGCATCTAAAAACAATAAAGATCACTGTGTGCGTTTGAATTGTCCGCTCGATGTTTTGGGTAACCTTTTGAGGTTACATTCGTTCGAGTTTAGAAAACCTCCAGTTATTCTTACATCTACCACGTTTGGTTCGAGTTTTTAAGCGAAGTTACTGAAGAAATAGCCATTTGTCGCATCAAACCTTCGACCCCGCTTTCACGTGTGGAAATTCACGACGTGACAAACGGCAAGATATGTAACAAACGATCACGTCCTCAGGAAATCGATTTAAAACATGTCGAAGGAAAGTGAAGTCGAATAAATAAATCCACGCATTGGAGAACGAAATCCCACCCTCGACTGGGACGGAATCGACTCAGAAATTTTTGATAGATTAAAGAGAACTAGAGGCGCAAAGAAAGGTATCGTTACGAAAGCACAAAATGAAATACGCGAACTTATGTTAGATTTCGGAAACATTGAACTAGTCCAAAGAAAGGTGCAGATTCTGCAAGAATTCGAGGGCGCCTACGCCGCTTATCACGAGCAGCTAAAAAAAAGATCGCGATATCGATGAGTCGAACGCCTACTTTCTCGAAGTAAAGCGTGGAATAGAGGATATCACAGGAGATGTAACTGGGTAGTGTCATCGGAACACGTCAAGGACTTCGGTAGATTATTATCGCCAGCACGTGCCATTACGGCAGGGCCGGATACCGAGATAAATCCCGACGATTCAGCGAGTAATAATGTACCTTCTCGAGCGTCCCACCTCATGGGGCTCCAAAATCTCTCGTTGTTCCAAGTCAAGTTCGGCGGCGAGCTCTCGCGCCTCTTCAGCATCAGCTGCAAAAAAAAGGCCAATCTACGAAGCTATGAGGCAATTCAGAAGGAGGAGCTAGCACCACAACTTATGAAGAAAGCTTTCTAGCTACAAACAGAAATCGCAAAGGCACAAGCAGAAGAACTCGTTTACGGCGCAGCTGAAGCGTCTTATGTCGAAAATTCTGCCTCGCTTTTCAGACAGGAAGATAAATATGTGGCACTCCCACCTCCTCAAGAATTCACCGCAAAACAGCAGCCAATACCTCCGAATGAGCTACCTTTAGTTCAACGAGAATCTCGACCTCAGCATGACCAAGAGGAACCAAAAGCAGAACGCGTAGAGAGAGAAGCTCTGAATCCTAACGCGAGGAGCTGGGTCCCTTTCCACGATGGAGAAATTGATCGTAAGCCACGCTTGAAATCGCTCGACGCCCTCAAGACTGGAGAGATGAACGATGTCAAACTGGTTCTCCGCGACCTTACCGCGACTGACGGACTGGCCTGTACCATACTGGAAGCGCAATACCAGCAAAATCAGCGAATTCAGGAGCTCATTCAGCAACAACAGCATAGTACACTTGCCCTCACTTTGCCGGAGTCAGAAGTGCCAACCTTTAGTGGCAACCCTATTGAGTATTGGTCCTTTGGACAAGCATTCGAGAACCTAATCGAGAGTAGAACGACCAGTAACAGTGCTCGCCTGTATTACTTAGTACAATACACCTAGTTGTCTAGCTATGAAACCCGAAGACGGATATCAAGAGGCGTGCACTTTGCTGAAGGACAGATATGGCCAAAGTTATCGCATAGCGACCGCGTACGAAAGGCTCACCAATGGACCGCCCATCAAAGCCGAAGATAGCGTCGCATTACGTCGATTCTCAGTTCTTCTAACTGGATGGACGAACACCGTTGGTGACACTGGATATCTCAGCAAAGCCGAGAACCCGGAAACACTAAGAATGATCGTCAAGAGACTGCCCTAAGGCCTAAAGTTGAAATTGCGTGATATTGCAGGAGGCATCACCGAAATTCAGAAGAGAGAGACTTGAACGACTTCGTTAAGGCCAAACGAGAGTAGCCACGCACGCTATATTCGATAACGTATCGAGTCATCCTCCGACGCCACCATCAGCTATGAAAGAGAAGAAGAAGCCTTCCCCTTTGCAACCTGCGTCACCGTAAGGAACGAAGCCCGCACCGATCAAGTGAACAAAGAAGCCAGCAAAAGACGCATCCAAATCATATGTCTGCTTTGTAATTCTAATCATTGGCTCTTACAATGCGTCAATTTCAAGGCTAAATCCCTCGATGAGAGCCCCAAGTTCGTACACTCCAAAGACCTCTGCATTAATTGTCTTCTTCATAGCCATGCTGTTAGTTCCTGCCCCGAGGAGAGTTTTTGTCGAGTAACGGGATGTAAGGAAATTCATTCGAGCTACCTTCATCCCTGCGATGCACCTGCTGTGACTGGACGCGATTCTGCACATGCAGTGATTAACCTCTCAAGTCAACCCAGCAACCAAGCGTTGAATGGCTATGTTAAGGGAAAAGATGATAGTCGCTGCGGCGAAAATGACGGCAAACTTGCGTCCTCAGCCGGATTAGCACTACTGCCTCTTAAGGTTAAAGCACCAGGTCTCGACAAGATCATGGAAACCTACGCATTTTTGGATAATGGTTCCAATACTTCTTTCTGTTCAGGGGGACTCAATGCAGAGCTTGGCATTAATGGACGAGAAACAACATTGTCACTGACAACCATGGAAAGCAAAAACACCAGCATCAAATGCTAAGCAGTTGACCCTGACATTTAGTTTTTAGGCCGAAGCGTTTCAACCTTGTTTTATGTTTTTAGTTAAAGGCAATCAGCTGTTTCCGCTTTTAAAGGGGCCGGAATGTTAGTTACGTAACGCTTAGTTAATATACACTTTATTTTAGTTTTGTTCTGGTTCATTTTTATCAAAAAGTCTTTCGTTAGTTAATGATTATTACAGCAAGTTTGTTATCTCTGATCAAATTTTTATTTAAGCCGGTGCACGTGTAAAGATTCTATTTCATCGTCGTTATTAGTCATCGCTGCTAAATCATCACTGCTAAATCGTCGCTGCTAGATAATCGCTACAAGCTATTTGCTACCGTTCGCTGCAAGCTATTTACTATCGTTAGGAGCTAGACCAAAGTAAGTTTTAATTTCTTTTACATTTACGTTGTTCACCTTTTGCATGTATTATTGGTATAATTTTGGTATTCTGTTTACCGTGCAATCGCTTCACTTTTAGTTAGGTTAATGTTACATTTCGCAACGCATTTTTCTTAGATTAGTTTCTGTTGTATTTTCTTTTAGTTCGAACCACATGCACGCAACCTCAACCGCGACTCTCATCAAGCAAATTTCGTCTTAGCGCTATCATCTGAAAACAACAGAGATAACTGTGTGCGTTCGAATTGACGGCTCGTTCTCTTAGGTAATCTTTCGAGGTTACACTTCGCACACTAATTCACCGTCGTTGAGAGTGAATAATACTTTCCGTCTGCTTTTAAAGAAAACAATGTCGCGACAGTCGTTGCCAAACTAGTTCCGTTGTTTTTTCAAAAGTGTACCTGCGTTTTTCTTTCTTACGCGCTCTCTAATTGGCAGGTGTCAGAGTGTGACAGATACTTGTAAAAATAATGTTTCATAGTTGTTGAAAGCCTTTTAAATCACCTTTATCAGTACGCAAATGAAAATGTTTCGATGAAGCCTCTCTTTAATTTGCATCACCTCTATTTTAACTATTTTTAACTATTTATTCGGGTTCTTTAGGAAAGAATTTCGTTAAGTTTAAGGAAAAAATTAAAAATGTTATTCACCAGCCTAGGTCGGTCCGTATTGGGAACCTCGGGCACAGCTTTTCCTAATAAAGACCTCCCGACTGGCGAATAACATCAAAATCCATTCGATAGCGTTAGTCACCCTTTGAACAACTGGGCCCTTATCTGTGACATCTTTCCATGTACCTTACACTACCTTAAAAGGGTAGTCTTTCACCACCTTCACCAGGCCTGCCCCAAAAAGGCCTTCCTCAATGAGGCCTTCCAAATGGGAATCCAGGAGGACCCTGCCAGTACAACTGGTGTTTACAGTTTGAATATCCAGCTTCAAGGCCTACACCAATTCCTAATGTGACAGGCCATGCAGCCCTTCATATTTAAGGAAAAAATATTAGAGGAAGCTACAATTATGTGGAAACATCCAAACAAATATACTTATTGTGGTAAAAGCAGTGATAAGCTGGTGTAAACAAAAACAACCCTATCAATGGATTTCAAGCCCTTCATCCTAATAAGGCATTTTTCTCTTGTTTACAGGGAATATTCCAATGACCAAGAGGTAACTTTACCATCCAATCCCTTCCATGGTACCCATAGATGAGAGTTAGTTTCACTCAAGCTATAATGAATAACACTTTGGATAAACTTTTCACTTTTTATGGAGATGCTAAGGGTGTAAAAGAGCCATGGGTATTTAAATACCTCTAACCCTATAACTCTCATGCGCTGCCAAGACAGAATTTCTCCTTACAATATCAATATAATATCAAGCAGAAGAGTGATGGGAATAAAGAATAGTATCAACTGGAGGATCATTACTTGATCCAATACCAAATTCTCCAAAATCATATTACAATAATTTTATGGCAGACAATAAGGAGAATTGCTAATGAGATCTTGGGAGTGAAGAGTTAATAGTTATGATTTCATGTCAGGAAACACTTGATCTTAAAAAATGTTGGTGTATTTCTACTTTATATTGGTCACCTTTGTACCTCTTGTTCATTAGATAAGTTTATGTAAGTCAAATCAAAATATGGAATCTGGTAACAAAAGAAATTTTGGATCAATATCAGTATCTGGGCAACTGCCTACCTACCCCTCCCCTAACTCAACAACAGTCAATTGATAAAAAGTTGGGGTTAATGTTGAGTTAGGGGAGGGGTAGGTGAGCAGTTGCCCAGATGTGATATTGATCCGAAATTTCATTGAAATATCCAAAAACCCACACCCTAAATAGGAAACCCTCTCCTCCCCCCTTGTAGACCTCCCAGCAAGGCCCCTATTCCAGCGAAGTAATTGTTGGACTTCACAGAGGGCACGAAATCTTCGCCCTGCTGGAAAAAATCATTAATTTTTCCTCAAGGTTAGTTTTTAGAGGAATATTTGAATCTTAAAGTGCACAAAAGAGTTTAAAACTTCCGCATAAGCTAACACCTAAGCTTTCTCTGGACTTACTTTTGAAGAAAAGAAGCGAAAGAATACCGCCAAACACGGCTCCACCAACTGAAAAAAAGGTATGAGGTAAATTCAGCGAACTCTTATCAAAATTATCTTCTACTTCTTCTTGATTTTCAAAATACCAGTTTTAAACGTTGTATCTACAAGGCACCGATCCCATTTTCTTCCCAACTCTTCTTCGCTTGGCCGTCTGGGCGCCATCTTGAAGATTTAAGCGCCCGCATTGATGTTTACACAGCTGAATTATTTTCAGCGCATGCGGATGGTCAAGTACCCCCTGCATTGCCACATGTGTCCTCTTTCTTTCTCTCTTGAGCCATCATGCCGGCGGTAAGAATTGTAAAGAGTTTTTCCGTATTTTACCATATTTGAATGCGTTGAACTACAGATTTATGGAATGAAATTAAAGAGAAAGCTCTTGTCTTCACTTTGAATACCTTTTTGGGGAGGTAAAGCTTTTATTTAAAGCCACACGTTTTCATCGAAATTATAGCATGTAATGAATTTTTCACTCCTCGAAACTCGTTTGATAGGATTGTCGATGATTTAAGTGTTCCTTCGATGGTTTTTACGGCTTATAGCTGTTTTAGCTTCAAAAAACGTTGTTTTTGCTCACGAGCATTTGTTTACGCCAAACTTCGTCTCGAGGAAACCATATATTTCTCGGATTTTTGAAGAAGGATCGATGTGAAAAAATTGGTGGTCTTAAAGTTGGTCAGAAAGTGCACTCCCTTGGCAGAAAACGATTCTTGTATATTAATTAATTCTTAAGTTACAAGCAAAACTAAAAGTAAGGAATGAAGGGGGTAAATTTTTAAAGAAACTGTGGTGCTACGTTGGTTGGAGAGTATAACAGCGTAATTTAGTATCATCAACTGAGTTGATAACGTAAATTGGCCACTGAAAGAGTTTCAAAGCTTGACTTTCAAGCCTTAGCCCCTCATTGTTTGCTCTGACGAAGAGCTAACTCATGAAACATCAGCTTTCAAACTCTTTATGGTGGCCAATTTAGGTTATCAATGCAGTTGGTAATACTAAATTACCCAAAAGGAAGGAAACATGTGGGAAAAGAGGATAACATGATGAAAACAAGGCAAAATGGATAAAAACTCACAAGATACATAAACCCAATTGCATGGGGAATTAGAAATTTTGATGTTAGATCCAGTTAACTTTTACCTGATAAGATTTGGTATTCTTATTACCTGTCTTCTGGAGATTGTATGGATATTATAGAGAGAAATTACTTTTCACCGGGAGGTAAAGGGTAAACTTTGCTTGTGCTGATTGACTCTGTGGATTAAATCTTCTTTGGTTAATTTTTACGCAGAAAAAGAAGCAACAGAAGAAGAAAACACAGTTGAAGTTCACTGTGGACTGTACTCATCCAGTTGAAGATGGAATCATGGATGTAGCCAACTTTGTGAGTAATGATTTAATTGTTTTTTTTTTTTAAATTTTCTAGTTATTGTAGGGCAGTTGAATAAGGGGGGTAAATTTCTGAAGAAATGTTGTTGCCCTGATGAAGGGCTAACCCTCAAAATGTCAGCTTTACAAACTCTTTTAGTGGTCAATTTTCATTATCAGCTTAGTTGATGAAACCAGATTATATCGTAGGGCAGGTTAAGTGTAAACACAGTACATTGTACTAGCTTTGGCAGAGAAACTGCAGGGCTGTTAAAATTCTGGAAAACTTTTTAAAACCTCTGGGCAGAAAAAAAAAATTTGGGCAGCTTGGGGTCTGCTCCTTAGTCTGTAAGAAACTTTGACAGTAACCATGGTATTGTTTGGGCATAGAAACAAAAAAGTTCTTAAAATTGCAGTATGATACACGGTAGTTGTTTCTCTTGATTAAAAATCTTCAAATAAATGGCACCATTACAGGTGCTCATAAAAGGACTGTGATTGTTTTTAAAGAGGTGTGAAGGTTGTTAGTCTTAATTTCATAACAATTTCCTTTTTCACAGTTGTAAATTTTAATTAAAGTAAATACATCAGACATTTAACTAAGTGCAACTTTGATAGCTTTTTTTTAAGGAGAAAACAGTGAGAGTTGGGAAAAAATTTGATTGGTTTGCCATGCTTAGGGCCACCTTCCCTAAGTGCCACATTTTTGTCTTCCAGGAACAATTTCTCCATGAGAGGATAAAGGTTGGTGGCAAGACCAATAATTTTGGCAGTGATGTGTCCATTGATCGTCAGAAGAACAAGATCACTGTTGTCTCTGAAATTCCGTTCTCCAAAAGGTAAGTTTCATGGCACAAATGTCCAGCAAATGTTTCTACCATGCAGCTTGTGTTCTTCAAAATTCCCATCTCCTGCATCTTGAAATTTGACAAGTCTTCAAAGGTTTGTCTTTCCCTTATGAAACCCATATTTTGCTCAATATTCCTCTTTTGACCTTACCTAGGACATTTTCAGGGTTCAAATTGTGTAGATGTACACGAAGCAATCTTTTTTGGACTTCATTTGTGCAAAAAAATTGCACCATCTATTTTTGACTTGTTTTCCTTATGTTTGTCAACTTGTACCGGAGTCAAAGAAGTTGTGAGAATTTGTTAAAATATCCTGCTTGGAAATATTTATTAAAAGAACATGCACCTCATTTTTAGCTTGAAATGTGTTCAAACATGTAAGCAATCTTTAATGTTGGTTCTAGTGAAGAAGGTATTTATTTCCTTGAAGGTATTTATCTCCTTGAATGAAAGCAAGCTATGATAGATTCAGCTTGATGGCTATCTTTTCAGAACACCAGGGTGGTTGTGATAAAATGAGTAAACTGCTCTCCATTGTTGCAGGTATCTAAAGTATCTGACTAAGAAGTATCTGAAGAAGAACAACCTACGTGACTGGCTGCGAGTTGTGTCCTCTGCACAAACTACTTATGAGCTGAGGTACTTCCAGATCAACAATGAAGACGAAGATGAGGAGGGTGAAGATGAATCGTAAAGATTAGTCTTGTAACTCTACTTGAATGTCTTAAATAAACAGATGTCAAAGGCTAATGCATTGGTGGTGGTGTTGTGTTTTCCATTAAATGCTATTATTGTTCAGTGCAGCTCTACCAGACATTGTCTTTTACCTAAGTTATATATAACTTATTATCTTTTCAGTCATCAGTGAAATAGAATACTCCTGAGAAAACTCTACAGCTAATGAAAGACATTGCAAGTGCTTACATCCAATCAGTTTTTTTTCTTTCTATCAGTTTCACTAACTTAATAAAATTTTGTGCTAAATTTTGCCCAAACAATAGATGCTTGTGTGGTGAATGAATTCCCTTGGAGAAGTGAATTCAACTAAACAATAATAATAATAATAGTCAGAGATGTTTATCCAGGATAACCCTTAAATACAAAAGTAAGTTGTTCTCAATGGGGTCCTGCTTACTAAGAATTAATAATTAAGAAATGAGAAATCATTAAAATATGTACAAGATAGTGCCTCCAAATCAAAAGACACTTAGATAAAAACTGCTGAAACTACAATAGAAATCACGAGTAATAATCATCCAGGGCTTTCCTTTACCTTTTAACTCCCAGATCAAATTTTTAATTCTATCCATCAACCATACAATTCTTATCATGTTAGTTCAGAGAATTTAGTATTGAATCAACTAATTATCCCCAAATTGATATTTTTCTTAATTCTCATCACTTTTGTGGTTGGTAATGCATTGATATTGTAAGGAGAAATTCTCTCTTGGTCACTCTATTGTTAAAGGGTTAACAAAACTAGAATAAATGTTCCTCAAACTTGAAGGTAATGAATTACAAATCAAGGAACCCAAAAATTAAAAACTTGCAAAATCCAGTTTGACTCTTGGTAGCATGTTTTCCCATTGTTTCTAGTGTAAGTAAAGTAATCCACAATTAATCATAGTCCACTATGTAAACTTTACCTTTGCTAGCATTTTATGGAGAAGAGTGCTAGCTGTTTTGGAGGCATATATCCTTGAATGAATATGAATTGCAAGTAGACAAGGCAGTTATGGAACCAAACCCTTACTGTGATGCTCGGCAAAGGAATGATCTTGATTCCTCTCTAGGAAGTGTAATAGTAATGTAATAGCTTCACACTGTCTCAGGTGGTGGTTCGTCATTCTAAACATTGCTTTCTGTATTGCAAATGCAAGCATTGTACTCATTTTGAAGGTTGGAGCAGGTTGCACACATTTTTGTAGTTTTTGCTGTTAAGTTGCAACAATTGTGATTGTGGGAAGGAAATGATCACAGTGAAAGTCATGGTTTATCAATTTTGGACTAGCACTTTCAGATATTTTGAATTCCAAGCATAACTGTTCTCCACTCGCATGTGATGTCACTTATATGAATAATAATAAAATAGAAGGAACTGTTTAGATTATGTATTTAAGACCTTTTGAATCAATGGTACTTTGCTATTACAAAGTAATCAATTTATTATAAAAAAAATTCTTGAAGGTGATTAGTTATCACCGGCTTGATTTGAGTTCCAATAGGATGTACACTTGTTGCTCGTAATTAGACTATGCTTCCTGCTGTTGTTGCATATTCTGCTGACTTGTAATTAATAACTCTGACTCCCACTTTGCTGTCATCAGATTTTGTTAATCACTGGTTTGATCACAGACACATTAGGAACCATTCAGTCCTATAAACATTACTAATTAAATTTTATTAATAGTGTACAGCTCATCAGTGTCTTATTTTACCAGGCATTTGTACAAGAACAAACCTATATTGAATCGATGTCTCTACAAGTTTCTAACCTGAAGAGATATACATTTCTGCTAATTTGAGATCCTTCTTTGATAATTACTGTATTCTTTTGATTCAAGCACATGAATAAGTGCCACATCTAGAAATTCAGTGCTCATTAGAGGGGTTACACTAGAACAAGACTGTAGTACAACCTTGTTCAACCCTTTAACTTTCAGAAGTGATAAATATGTAACCTCCCTATTCTATCCATACATTATCCAGCAAAATGGTAAAGAGGATCCTCAAACTTTTCAGGTAAAACACCAAATTCTCATAACCAATTTAAAAGGAAATGTGTAACAGGGTGAGGGGAGAATTAACAATCAGATCTTGGGAGTCAAAGGCTAACCCTTTACACTCTAGCATTCATATTCTGGGCACTATTGTCTTTTCATATCCCATGATGCTGACAAGGAGAGTTTGCCGGTTTCACAGCCAGGGCTTCTTGAATTGGTGATCATTCCAGCGCAGTCCAATTTTGAGTTAACTTTTGATTAACGATTATAGACCACTTAAGACTCCACTTAGTCTTAGTTCTATCATTTAGCTTAGTTCTATCATTTAGCTTTAACCATGAAAATGAAATCTGTACAGAAATTTTTCACGAGAAGGAGAAACAAGAGTAGAGGTTCCTCTAATGAGGAGATATGGCTGACCCTGATCTTTGGTACACTGACAGTGCGATAATAAACTAAGTCATATTCCTGTGAAGGGAAGCAGAAATTTAATGTATATGTACTAATTTAGAATATATTTTACCTTAAATTGTTACATCTATATGAAGATTTTGTATAGAGTAGAGTAGAACAGGATTGACTGTAGCTAATGTTTCTTCCTTCAACAAGTAAGTTAGGTGGCTTTCTCTCGTCACCACTTGAACAAGTTTGTGGACTTTAAATGATCTCCTTTTCTCAGCCATTCAGATCAGCGAATAAACAGCTCAGTACCTTGAGGATTGACAGTGTCTTAGACTGCTAAAATGATTCGAAAACTTAAATTTTTGTCCTACAGATTTCCTTAGGATAAATAGCTTAACCCTTTAACTCCCATGAGTGACCAAGACAGACTTTCTCCTTACAATATCAATACAATATCAAGCAGACATGTGATGAGAAAAAAGAAAATATATATGAGGGGATTATTAATTGATCCAATGCCAAATTCTCCAAACTAACATCACAAGAACTACACAGCAGACAGTAAGGAGAATTACTAATGAGATCTTGGGAGTTAAAGGGTTAAGAAATGACGTATCCCTGTTGTTATCCGTGATATATCTACTGTTATGTTCTCTCACGGTCGTTGTTTACTTCTAATCAAGTTCTATTTACCCTCAACATCTCCCGCCTGTTTCATATTATTTTACAGCACGTTCCTTCCGACCATGGCCCTCCGTGGTCCATGGGATCGTTGTTTCTCATTTTCATTTGCAAAACAGATCTTGACTTAATGAGCCAAAAGAGATTCAGCGTAAATTACTTAAGAATAATATCTTGTACTCTACTGCGCAGAGAAGTAATTTCCTGCCAGGAAAGCACTTCTATAGGAGGAAAGAAAAATAGACGACGAAGAAACAGACTTATATTATTAATCCTTTCATCTAGAAATAATCTTCAAGCGTAATATGGTAGTCAGTATTATTATATACTCAACAAAATATCGCGTTTCTGATTGGTCAATGATGAATGCATAAATAGGTTATAGAGTGCAATACGGAGAAGTTGCCATGGAAACACCGGGGAAGCGCCAAATTTGAACACCAAATTATAAAAAAATGGAGTAATTTTGTCGAGAATATAGTAAATAAAAAATCGTATGAACCTGCTCGTGCATTTCGTGATTTATGGTCACTCGTGATGTTTTGAAAGTTCTCAAATTGCACTCGCCTACGGCTCGTGCAATTTTGGGAACTTTCAAAGCATCACTTGTGCCCATAAATCACGAAATGCACTCGCGTTCATACGATTTCCTATACTTATCAAACGGAACGTTTCGTTTGTTTCTCATATGCTACTTCTGTGCTACTGAAATTTTAACACTCGCTATGCCTGACTGCATGGCTTTTCAATTGTCCAGCTTGATTTCTTCAGTTTTTAGTTACCTTAACTACGACATCGCAACTAAATCACTTTACGTCCACAACCTCCTCTTGTTAGTTCAAGCGTTTAAACATTAATACTACCACGATGCATGCTGTCAATTGTTTAGTCTGTCGTCTCCAGAAAGGATAACTGGATAATTTAGAATGCTCTGAGTTTGATTTTTACAATAATCTGTCGAGAAACCTTCAGTAAATGGAGTTCTGTTCAGATGACAAATATTCACGTTCACGTTCCTGTAAATTAAGCTTTTCAAAGGATGACTAGTTCACTTTACATTCATTACTTGTGTTGTCGTACCCGGAGGGCGTGGCAAGACGTATCACTTCTGGTTGAATGTCATTTGAACTAAACTCTTGGGATTTCTCTTGGCTGTCACAGTCCTCAGCCATTTCTACATTCTCAACATGACATGCTGTTGTAAACCGCAAAGGTTCCCCTGTCTTGCACACAACCGATACTTTCCCGTGACCAACGATCACAATCTCTTCTGAAATTTCAACACTTCTCTCCAACAGATACTCGCCTTCTTTTATTACAACGACTTGATTCTTCGAATTCCCCTCAAGCTTCTCTGCATTTTGAATGACACGCCGCAGCTGATCCGAAGTTTCCACAACTAGGACTTGGAGCTCTCCATAGCGCTGAGTGACTTCAGAGATATCCCGACCTTGGCTCAGGTGTTTAAACACTGCAGCAGCAGCGAGTGCTTCTGGCTTTCTACCCAGTTCTGCCAAGGTTACAGACTTAACGCGGTAACCAAGCAGCCAGGAAGGGTCAGCTTTGATGGCAGCTTCAGCGTCATTTAATGCAAGCTGCAACGAAGGCTTTCTCTTTGACAGACTACCATTTTGTTGTTGGGCAGATTTTAAGTAGGTTGACGCCCTGCTAGTGAGAATCTTTGAATCGTTTGGATATAGAACAAGTGCTTCATTATACATCGTTAGGGCTGCGTCTAATTGGCCGCAATCGAGGTAAGCTTTGGCAGACTCTTTGAGACTTTTGATGGACTTAACTGTGGATGATTGTGCAATGTTCTCCATGTAAATGGCTTGTGGAACACAACTACAGCACATTATTTGGACCTTGCCAAGACCAACCATTACTGTATTTTCTGGGACCTTTAAGGGCTCTGGTAGCTGGTACTGCCCTTCTTTCACCACAATAACTAGATTTCGAGCATCAGTTTTCTCCGCTGCTGATTGAAAGTCTTGTACTGTGTTAACGACATGTACATCAAAGTTTCCAAAGCGATCCTCGACTGCTGGAATGTTTGCGCAATACGATGGAAACAGATGCCGAGATATCGCAGCTGTAGCAAGTGAAGGCCCTCGTTCGTCAAGACGAGCAAGGCAGACAGCCTTCCAATAATACCCCTTTGCCCAAGAGGGATCTGTCTTTATGGCATTCTGCGAATCATCCAAGGCACGTCTAAGCCATTCCTGTTTGTCTTTCAATGAGCATTGTTTCTCTGATAGTTTTAAACTTGTTGCAGCTCTATTAGTCAGCAACTTGGCATCGGTTGGAGACGAACCTAAAGCGTCAGAATAGTGTTTGTATGCCCCAACATAATCGTGGTCTCTGAATAAAGCATTACCCCTGTCTTTCAGTGCTCGGGTTGCGTACATATTTATATCACACTGTGGCACGCTTTGGAAGAACTGTTCTTTTGGTCCTGCATCACATTGTTGCAACAACTGCACGCAATGTTTGGCTTCCGCTACATTTCCTAGGATGGAATTAATTGCTAGTAAATTCATGTAGGCGGATTTAAGGCATGGGTGCGTTTCACCGTAAAATTTTTTGCGAATCGCCAATGCTATCTGAGCTACTGTCAAGCATTTTTGTTTTGCAGCATTTTTCACGTCTCTTACCCAAAGTTTGCACCAGCACGCTAAGAGACCCTCCAGAACTCCGGCCACATGGTCATCGCTTCCATCCTCAATAATGACTGCATTAGTTTCTGTACAGCCGTTGATCACGCATGCGTATATACGAGGCCATCTTTCTTCTAGCATTTTAAGCAGCAAAGTTTCCGATTTCTGGCTATCAAAAGTGCTGAGTATCATGAGAGCATCAGTCATTCCCTTGATGTAATAATCAGAGTCATGTGGCATCGTCTTGCAAACATCTAACATTTCCTCAGCGTACGGCTTTGCCTCAGTGACTTTTCCTTCATTATTGAGTAGAGTCGCAGTGTGCTGCAGAACACGTAACAATACTCCTTTATCTGGAGGTTGCAATTCCCTGGCAAGTTTCAAGGCATCCTTGTGACGTTTCAAAGCTGATTTGAAATTAAAAGCTGATACCTGGTTTTCGGCTCGTGCTATTAACATTTGAAGATCAACGGATTCAGCAGCACTCAGTTTTAGGCTCTCAAGTTTAAGTAACGCTTCGTAATTTTTCTTCCATTTCCCTTCAATGGCGTAATAGGAAGCGCGGTGCTCAAGAACTCGATATTTTACATCGTCATGTACGATTGCTCCAGAAGTTTCTAGCTCATGAAGCTTTCGCACTGTTTCATCAGCGAGTTTCTTTGCTTCTCTGTAACTCACGGAATCAGAACAATTTCTTTTACTGACACTTGTGTTCACCATCATAACAAGAATTCTGTTGGGATCCTCACGACCGCACATTATTTGAACTTGCAACATAAACTCTGAGAATTCAGCTTTCAACTTAGCAAAAAATATGTTCATCCCAATTAATCGGTTAGTTAACTTGAACAGTTGACCAAAAGCGTCATCTCTTCTAATGCAATCGATGAAGCGATCCATTGATAAATTCATCTCTTCCTGTAAATGATCCTTTAACTTCCGAGAACTCAACAAAAGAGCAATAAGAATATTTTTGTCTCCTTCGTTTACTTCTAACCAGTTTATCACATGCTCGTCATTAAACCTCAAACAGGATTCACTCTTCTTTCTAAGCGCACAGTGTAGAACGCGCAAGGCCGCAGTCAATGTCTCCGTCCTTATTTGTGTAGTTAGGCTGTCACGAACCACCTCTTGAACAAGTTTGTGTACGCTGAATACTTTGCTTTGTTGATCAACTGAGAAAAGGGAGTAACAGGTCAGTACCTTGAGGACGGCAGAAATTTCAATCTCAGAACACGCAGCTTCTCTTAACTCGACTTGATCTATAGCAGGACGACCAGGATTGATGACTTCGAAAGGAATATTCTCAGACTCTAGAAAGGATGCAACACGCATCATGGTGGCAGCAGCAGGCGACTTTTCTGCTACAAATTCAAAATTCATTTCCCAGGTGGTGTGTACAGATAAACGATGCTGAGCCTCTACACTAAGAGCTGTTACTGGCTGCCGTTCTAAGAGACGGAGCCTTACCTCTCGGTACTTGAGGAGGTAAGCTTTGAAGGTACAAGGAATGGGAAGTGCAGATATGTAAGCTGCTGCTTGCTCGAGGGCCAATGGAAGACCTCCCAGTTCTCTTGCCAGATCAATTGCTTCCTTGTAAAGGAATTCCCCTTCAAGGCCCGTTCTTTGCATTAGAAACAGGGCACCTTCCTCTTCAGTGAAAGACTGCAGCTCCAAACAATCTTTGGGCGACAGCTTCAACAGCGTTTTGATATCCCTCGCATTTTGCCTGGTAGTGAACAGTATGTGTCCATTCTTCGGTGCGTTTGCATTCCTTTGCCAGGGCCCATTGCATATTTTCATCACACCACTGGGACACCTCGGGCTTGTCAACTCATCTGCATTGTCTACTACAAGGAGCCATGGACAATTTTTATTCGATAACAGAGTCAGAAATCTGATCAGGGAGTCATCGACATTTTCACTTGTCGACGCGGGTATATTTAGTAAAGCAAGGTTCTCAGCAACTGATTTACGTACATTTTCATCACTTTCCCCATTAATCCAGAACACTCCACCAGTGAAGTGTTTCTTCCATTTCCAGGCAAATTCTACCGCCAGAGAAGTCTTTCCGCATCCTCCAAGGCCACAAATGGTTTTTGTGCAGCAAGAAATACCTGAAATTTTTGAAGAATCCTCATCGGACACTAAATTATGTTCTAACCATACCAAGGCTGCCTCTCGCCCAGTGAATTCCTGTAATTGTCTCGGTGCGGTACACGGTGTGGCAACATCTTCTCTTTGTACAACTGAGGATTTTGCCTTCAAGGTTTCTACTTCAGATTTCATGCTTTCGAAGCTGACCTCTAAGTCGGCGATTTTATTTTTTGCTGTGTTAAGGTCCGGGACAACGTCATCCAGACAGCCTGTCACATTCTTTAGATCCTCGCTGATAACATCTAAGGCACCATGCAAATCATCTCGCTCATCAAGCAACCTATTAAAGTTTTCAACACTTTTTGATAGCATTGAAATTTCCTGTTTAAGAACTTCAACATCGGTCAACGCATCAGTAAGTTGTTTTCCATGTTTGCCAAACTCTTCTCGATAGAATGCACCCTGCTCTTTCAGGTTGGATATGTCTCTCTGAGCACACTCTTCACTTCTTTTTATATCTGAAGTAAGCTGCCTGATATTTTCTTGAGCTTCTAGTAAATCATTCTGGCCTTTCCCCAGGTCGGTCCTTGCAGCATGTACCTCTGTATCCAGCTCCGCTAGTTGGTCCTTTAGCTCGGCTATCTCTTCTTTGTTTCCACTGCTTCGCGTTTTTATTTCGGATAAATCCTTCATGCACCTTGTTACGTCTGCAACCAGCGACTGACGCAGCAAATGAAGAGCCTCAACTTCGGATTTCCTTACATTTACGAGCCCATGATAAAACAAGTCTTGCAAATTTTTCGAAGATTCCTGCACCCCTTTGTCTGCCTTGAAAACCGGGTCACTTAGCAGATTGTGAAGGTGTCCAAATATAATGTTGACATCTGCATCTTGAAGTTCTTGTTTTGGCGAGTGAGCCCAGTGATTTCTTCCCTTGTCTCGCACTGCATTCAAAACTACTCGATTGACCGAGGGATGGATGAAAGGACACCATTCTAACACGTTTAAGAGCCCGCCAATGTCTGTAGTACTGGCATCTATGATGTCTCCTTTCCGTGTTCCTAATGTTGGCATGAAGACTTTTGCTATTTCCCATGCCCCTGCAGGAGATCCCCATTGTTGTCTATCACTGTTGTTCCAGCAAATCTTTGGTCGTGGAGACTTGTGGAGGCGCTCCAGCTCTTTCTTCCAAGTAGTACAAGTGGCACATTTGGAAGAGTGACCTGCACAGGTACATGGGGGAAGTGAGTGCAAAGGAGGGCTGGAAATAAGTGACTGATACCAAGCCTCCATTTGCCTTTGGATTAATGGTGTGATTCCATTTTTTGTTATGTTCAAGGCACATCCAACCATTACCCAGTTTTTGTGCTCTTTCTTATCAAGTTCTGCCGTCCAGCCTGTAGCCATCTTGTGTTTTCCTTTATCAAGGCCAAATTCTAAAAATCACATGCCTATGTTAATAAACCAAAATCAGGGATTCTTTTCTCCTTCTGTTTAGGGAGATGAAGGGGTTCGAGATATTGAAGGGTGAGGGAACTCAAGATATTGGGGATGAGATCCTATGGGCCCTGAAATGCATGGGCAGGCCTTGGGTGGAGGTCCAAGACATTGGGCAACGAGATTCTGGGGGATTTGACATACTGGGGTTTCCTTCTGGAGACTCGTTATGTTAGGGAATTTGAGATACAGCGGCTCTTAGGGTCCTTGGGGAACTTAGGGTTCCTTGGGGCTCGAAGCATACGTACAGAAGTAAGAGCCGATCGATTAGGTAGGGGGCTCGAGATACCAGAGGATTCAAGGTTTTGAGGAACTCAGGATGCTGGAGAGTTTGAACTCAAGTCAATGGAATCTTAATAAAAATCAAATAACTGTCTGAGCGGAAGGGTGGGGAGCTACGAAAAAAAGAAAACTTAAAAGGCAGGGGTACAAAAAAAACTTTCTCTAATCGGCGCCCGGTAAAAAAAAAAAACACTGTTAGGGCCCGTTCTTGGAGTTGAATTACAGTTATGTTGAAATGAGGAATTTTAAATCTTTTGGTTAGATTTGTATTAGTGGGGTTGATTCATGCTTTATGTCATCATCCCAAACAATGGTTTGAGGACTTTGTTACTGCTAACATTAATTTCATATTGCTTTTGAAATGTAAATGTTAATAGCTACAAGCTGCAAAGCCAGTAGAAATTAACAGTGACTCGACCAAATAAAAAGTACCCATATATTTTGGCCTTTTTACAGTTCACTTTCTTAACCCGACACATTATTAAGCAATAACAGAAGAATCATTATTCAGAAGAAATTGCCTCGGAACATTGTAATAACACAAAATTTAATTTTATTTAAAAAAATATGACAAATATGTGGTTTTAACAATATATGATCCCAACGTTCTAAGGTCGCTTTAGGCCACCTTGAACAGTAAAAAATTTACCTCAACTTATTGACCGAATATCTCCAGTGTTACCTCGATCCAGGAGAAACCATTTACTGTGAACAACGTTTGTACGTAGATGAACAGATTTCATAAATAAAAAACAGAGGAAATGAAACGGTCAAGGAAAAAAATTATTAACCCGTTATGACCTGGCTATGTTTGGGACCTGGTCCTAAAAGCTCCTAGATCAATTCATGATCAGAAGAAAACGGTTAAAGTTCGTTTATTGTCCTGAAAGTTTCCTAATACTATGGAAATATCTTTTGATTTAGCATAAATGTGATGATGTTCAAGCAAAATTGTTGGAATGATTTTAGGTGACTAATTGAATTTAAACAAGCCACGCGCAATTACGCTCAGAGTTTATTTCGCTTACCGTTTTGAGAACAAAACATTTTGTATAAGAAACATTCTTATCAATTCTAATATACTAAAGTGATAGCTGTTGGTCATTTATTTGAATTAAATAGCTGCAAACTTAAGATTAATAATACGGTAATTACTGGTCGCGCAACCGATTTCGTAGATGATATGCAAATTCATCATATTTTCCTACAGGAGTCAGTTTACCATTTCCACAAGTTTGCAGCATAAGAAAAACCCCAACCTTTGGCGAGTCCGTTAGAATAATCATTCATACATATCAAAAAAAGTAAGCCTTAATACCAACGTTATAAACTCTGGCTGTGGTAACACATACGAAACGGAATGTGGTTTGAGATTGACATCAACTTGAACTCGTGAGAGTGCGGAAGTAATCAAGTGTATTCTTGAGTCTAAAAGTAGAAATTTATTGTTTTATTTGAGAATCCTGTTTAGATGAGGTTAGTGGTTTTTATCATTTAACTCTCCTTCACACTTCTTTGAAAATTTTGCCCACAACAAGTACAAAAATTGAAATTTGTTTTGATTTTGTAGCGAACACTGAGTTGTTGGTTTCATTGAGGCAAAATATTGGAAAAGTTCTCGTTTTTAACAGAAATCCAAACTTACTATTTCAGTGATTAATTTCCCTTTTTACTTCAGTTCGTTTTCCAGTTCTTTGCATGAAGAGAATGCTCTAGAATAATGTTGGTCAAGAGCGGTTTCTCGAGGTTTGCTGAGGATAGTTTTGGACATACCATGCAGCCGAGCGAGTGCATATCCCTTTTACGATGTGCTCGAAACACAAATCCTCGTTTATGGGGCTTAAACGTTGTTGATGCGTCCTTGGGAAGCGAAATTCAATTACTGTGTGCTAGAGTAGGTGCTGAGACAAATTTCATGCTTATATATGCATCGGTCAATTCGAAACTTCAACTTCCCTCCTCCGTGAAAATTGAACTCTGAAAATTAGTTCCCCCGGGGCCAAAATTATGTTCAAATGCCCTAACCAAGTTCATTTTTTTTTTTAGAAAGGAAAACTCAATGACCGTGACTATCTACTCATTTACCGAGCTTTAAAACTCTAGGCCTTGCAGACCTTTACTTATGTAACCCTGTAGAAAGAATTGACATTTCCGGTTCAAATTCCCCACCCCAGCCACGTAAGGTTCAAATTTCCTATTTCTCAGGCACGGACGACAGTAAAATACGCGTGGGTTGCCCGGGGGAGGGGAATGTTAAAGCTTCGAATTGATCGATGCAGTTTTTCTATCGATGCATTATTCCTTTGTCTTGCTTTCGCTCCTTTACATGTTCTCCCTTTTTGAAAACGTCTGTGTCAGTACTAAAATGGGATGCGAAACACGACACTCCATAAGACTTGAACTCATAAAGGCACTGACCTATTTAATGTTCCACATCGACGGTAGAATAGCTCATTGCGCACAAATTCTTTTCCACTTTTGTGGCAGGACATCGAAATATACTTAGCACAGTTTAGTTCGTTCGCGTAGTGACTCCAAGTCGACCTAGTGCAACCTTGTGCGACACAATGTGCTGTATCGTGACAAAGTGATGACTACTGGCGCAAGTGTGACGTGACAAAATATTTTTCTCGATTTGCGAAAATTTTCAGGACTTTGGGAAGATTCTTGAATTGTAAACTATTTTCGATTTTCATGAAAGTTATTTGTCAATCTAAGAACTAAACCAGGATTTGAAATTGTTTCCTCGATTTGACAAACTTTTCAAAAGCGATTTATCTAAAAGATATCGATTCTGAGTATTTTTTCGGATTTGCAAAATATTTTTGGATTGTTCCTTTTCGGCTTCCGTACCTCTCTCATTGCCATCAAAAAATAAATGAAATATGGTTTCTTAGGTCTTGGGTCTTAACTTCCGTTTTCGCTACAACCGACAGTTCAGCGATGAACAAGGATTCAATTCGAATTCATAGTTTCGTTTTCCATAAAGATTAGGTGTAAAGCTAGTTTAGAGCCATCGAAAGAAGTTGTTAAAAATATCCTTCACGAACAGTCTCTCAAAGCGAAATAGCTCTTAGAGTAAACTCAATTAGCGGTTGCGTGCGCATTCCAACGAGATGACTTTTATTTCAAACAACACCCAATTCATGTCTATGCCCTTAGGGCCTGTTTACATGGAGGTGGGGGACCCCAGGTAGGTGAGGTAACCCGCCTAGCCGTGGTCGAAAAATAAAACGCGTTTATAAGTAATCTTACAACCCCGGGGTGCTGGGGCGAGGTTTCTTGAGGTTGTTGCTGCGCTTGCAATTAAGGAGTTTGAGCAGAGGCGTCCTAAGCTCACATCTCGAAAACGACGAAAGATTAATTCTCGAACACATATGTATCTATTCATGAAAGCGTCACGCGTTGTGTTACGCGGTGTTTGGTTTCGCGAGAAAACGGAATAGTTTGGGAAAACAAATAGGGTCGATTTACAACGCCAAATATTCCGAAATGTGAACATTTTACACTCTTTGTGTGTCCGTTGCGGTTTCTGGTGATTTTTGCCGGGAGACGGCTAAGAAATGTACAAAGTTTTAAAACATACATGTCTCGCTTTTGAGCTTTTTGCTCAAGGCGGCGCAAAACGAACTTCGTACGTTGAGATAACCTGTCATCAAAATCTGTTATTTCCCACATTTTTCCCAATAAATGCTAAGAAAAAGGGTAGATCTTTTCATTTATTTTAAGAGATGTTAAGAAATCTTTACGACAGGACTCCAGTTGAAGTCATAAGAACACCTTCGATACGCCATGTTGGCGGGCAAGTTTGGGCGGACTAAGCCCAAAAAAAAAATACAACTGGAACTTTTTAATACCCATTTTGTGGTTAGGACCCAAAAATTAGCCTTTATGCCAAATTTCAGCCAAATCAGTGAGGTTAGGTGGCCGCGATTTTTGTAAAAAGTTCGAAAGTTACAGACTAATGCTCTTAAGTAGTTGAACTTGCGGGAGCGGGTCCGGTCCCTAGAGGACACACATGCTGCTAAGTTTTACAATGTAACGCATCTTAGGGCCTGTTTACATGGATGTGGGGGACCCCAGGTAGGTGAGGTAACCCGCCTGTCCATATAATTTCTTATTTTATTTTGATCACGTTTACATGATAGGTGTGGTGACCCGCCTAGGCGGGCTGCCCGGTCTGCCAGGTAGGGTAACCCTGTCAGCCGGGGTGACAATTTGCCACGTAAACGCGTCAAGGAGGGGTAACCCGCCAAACCGGGGTCGCGTTCGTGGCAAAAAGCTCAAAAGCAAAACATGTATGTTTTAAATCTTTGTACATTTCCTAACCGTCTTATGGCAGAAATCACCAGAAACCGCAACGGACACACAAGGAGTGTAAAATGTTCACATTTCGGAATATTTAGCGTTGTAAATCGACCATATTTGGTTTTCCAAACTATTCCGTATAACGTATTAAGTCAGCGGATCCTTGTGAAGCCAAACACTGCGTAACACAACGCGTGACGCTTTCATGAATAAATACATATGTGTTCGAGAATTAATCTTTCGTCTTTTTCGAGATGTGAACTTGGGACGCCTCTGCTCAAACTCCTTAATTGGAAGCGCAACAACAACCTAAAGAAACCTCACCCCTGCACCCCGGAGTTGTAAGATTGCATGTA